GGGGGGGGGAGCTCACCCTCACTCCCAATAATGAACAAAAGTGCAATTTTGAAATGCAACGGTTCGGCGCCATCCACTGGCTTTATTCCTGATTGCAGAGACAGAGGGGAGTAACCAACGCTCCCCTCAGCAGGAGGGTGCTTGGTCGTAAAGCCGCCGGCGCGCCCTTTTCCGGCTGCGGGCGGTCGTAAAACGCGCTCGCACCCCAAGGAAGGGAGGTTTACGATCCAACGTCGCCCTATCCTAAGGGTGCGTTTGGGGAGGGGTGGGCCGGCGGGCGACCGTTCCGCGTCAGGGGTTTGCCGCACCCCACGGCCCACTGCGGTTGGAGGGGGACGGGATGATCTTCACAAAGCGACCCGCGCGCGAACAATGGACAAGCCGACCGGCCTCCGGGCGAGGGGGGAGGGGGAGTCTAATGAACAGTGCTCCCTTTCCGGCGGTCTCGCAATATGGCGGTTGGGCGGATGGTCGTAAAACGCGCTCGCACCCCAAAGAGGGGAGGTTTACGATCTAACGGTCGGTCTGCCCCCACCCAACCCACCCTCTTGTGAGGGTGAGTATCTGCTGGGGTGGGCCATGGAGGAGCGCATTTCCAATATAAGCGACTGGCCCGCCGGAGGGAGCGTCAGATCACCCCCGGAGCTTATGCTGTGCGGACGTCTGCCAGCCATCAGATCCTCTAGGACGCCGTCGACGCTGCACCAAGCTCGCCAAACACCGGACCCGCCGCTCTCAGGCCGCCACTAGAATCTCTCCTAGATTCCTCTCGGTAAGCGAATATGAGCGGCTCCCGCAGCCTTGTCTGGATCGACCCGGATCACCGGCAGCCATTTTAGCTCTCCGCGATCAATGGCTCCAGCTAGAACAAGGGAGTTCTCCCATTCTATCGGTCGTGCAGGGATGGGGGACGCTCGCTTCCCAGCTCATACCACCGCGCCTGCTCACTTGAATCGATGCGAACACACCTAGCTGCGCGACCAGCGAGCGCAGCGCCTAGACCCGTTTAGAGCGTTGTCAGTATGGATGCTTGCCCATACAAGCGTAAACCGAAAAGTTAATCCGTTGATCTTATCTTTCCCATTTTGCATTGGGATGTTAAAGCAGCCGCAGAGCAACAAGCGGCACAAAGTGTGAAGGCTCGGCGGCTGACGTCAGAGCCTGCAGGCTCCGTGTTGATTCTTTGGCTATGCGCGCTGGTCGGCGAGACGGGGACGAGGCTGGGCGGGGTTCAGAAAGGTCGAGCGTGCGGTCAAGCTTCTTCTTTGCCTCTTTTGTGTGGTTTTCCCCAAACGTCCTGGTGGGGGGCCGCGGCTGCGGCTGCCGGCGCGCGCGTTGTGGCTGTCGCGCATACTCAAGTCAGTTCAGTCAGTCGCGCGCTATCCAAAGCCATGAGCCGCTCTCTACCCTTGCTCGCTGTCGCCGTGCCGGTCGTCCTGGTGCTCATGACGGGTTGCCCGGTGGGCTCAGCGCCAGCCCCGCGTCCCGGGGTCCCCACCATCGTCAAAGTGCCCGAGCCCGGCAGCCAGCCACAACTGCCTCAACAGCCACCCCACGACGACGTGCAACAGGAGCAGGCCGGCTTGACGGAAAATGCGGGTGGTGACAGCAAATTCAAACTACAGAGGGTCATCGTACTGCCTGTTTGGAACTCTTGTGCGGAGAAGAACGAGTTCAGGGACCCGACTGGGAAATGCAGGAAGAAGTTTTAGGAGCACGAGGATGCAAAAGTGACTTTAGACCAGCCGCGCTGCATGCACCACGCCAAGGCGTACCCCGGCTGACACGTGACGCTCAGAGTATTTGGTCATTCAATACGGTCATTCACGAGCGTCGGGCAGGCGAGTCGGTAGCTCGTCGCGGCCGTCGCTGCTCCCGTGGGGCTGCGCGCTGCTGGGGGTGGCTCTCACACGAGCCCTCGTCGCACCCTCGCCCGTCAGCGACTGCTCCGCTGCTCCGCCACCTCGGGGGAGGCGCGACGGCACTATGCCGCTTCATCGGGGCACGGAGCAATGACCATAAGGCAACCTAGGCCGCCGCCGCCCCAAAATATCAACGCCATGCCCTTGTTATTCAAGGTGCTCAAGTCAAGCAACGGAATCGCTGAAAGCGTGAACTCAGCGTGGCGATTCGCTGTAAGGATTTTCTGGGAGAAACGTTTGTGTTTTTAATGTATTAATCCAAAAGTAAGTCAAATAATTGTGCTTTTGTGTGACTGTGACAATAAATTAATTAGAAGTTTGTGCATCAACCGAAGCGTGAGCCCCATTATGTCTGTTTGTCGTATTCGAGCAGTCGTTTTAATCAGTTGTACCAACACTCCTCTCAACGAAGGCAGGGCGTAGCAATCAATGAACCACCCTATTTTTTCTGCATTTCATGTAATCAGGTTGGACAGGATGTAGCGCGGCTCGCCGGCCAAGAGCGTGTGAGCCGACGGCACGGCACACGTGTGTGCTTCTGTACACTCACCGGCATGCATATCTCGCACTCCTACGGGGTCGAGCAGGGGTCGAGCGCGGCTCGGTGGTAAGGGGAGGGGGAGGCTTTGGTCCTCCTCCCCCTCGACTCGCCGGCTGGCTCGGGCTGGCTCGCCGGACGGAGCGAGAGCGAACACCTCAGAGCACCCTCAGGTAGTGGCCCTCCCCTCAGGTCAGGGGTTAGGTTAGCCGCACCACGGGGTGGCCGCACCCCGCGGCCGTGTGTGGGTAAAGGGCAGCCCCCCCCCCCCTCCTCGCTCGCTGGCCTCCGCGGGGAGACAGCGAGCACAACGGAGCACTCTCGGCTCTCAGGTAGCAGCTCACCCCTCAAGTCCCGGGGGTTGGGGAGTTTGCCTAGCAGCACCCTGCGGCGGTGAGGGGAGAAGGGTGTGATCCTCTTCCCCTCACTTCACCTCGCCCAGCCCCGCGGGGTGAGCTGAGCGGGCGGGCGAGCGTGAGCACCCTCAGGTGCGAGCCAGCCTCTAGCAGGTCAGGGAGGGTGGAAGTGCAACGAGCTCAGGATTTCAGTGTCCAGTGCATGCATGAGTGTCAGTACAGTGTTCAAAGTGCAGTGACCAAGTGCAGTGCGAGATCGACCCATGGCAGCCCAGCAGTGTACACTGAATCCACCTCCTCGGCGTTTGTTTTACTTTGATCTATTTACGCATGTACGTACAACCCATCCCGCTGCCCCCCCCCCCTCCCCCGCGCAGCCCTGCGGTCGCTGCCTATGCGCGGGGCGGGCGAGGGAGTGGCCAGGGAGGGACAGGTAGGAGAGGGGACCAGGACCTTACTGGCTTCACTCAAGCCGTCGCGTAGGTGTAGGGACTTAGCCTGTGGAGTTGTGTCAGGACTTAGCCTCCTAAACAGTTCATTACTGACTTCTCCTAGCCCCCCCCCCCCCTTCAGCCCAAATCGCTCCCTAGGGTAGGAAGGCAATTTTTCCTACAAAACCCCTGAAAGTAGGCAATCTTCAGTAAGTTCAAACCTGTGCCTGTGTGTCAAATGAGTCCCGCAAAACCTAGATCACTTGCCGCCGAGATTAGGCCTCACGCAGGTATTGTCTAACCAACCCATTGACTACTTTGAAGAGTCAACTGTGTTGTGGCCTACCCCTACCCTACCGTTCACGCGAGCACACCCAAAACGACGCCCACTCACAAAAGCAGAATTCCTTAAGGGCGAGTGTAACTGACCATGTTGTGCGAGGCCATGGCGAGGCCCTCAGCCTAGGCTGCGGCCCGCCGCATCTGCATACGCCCACTTTCGAACGGAAATCTGTCTAGGGCCGGTCCTGGTCGCGTGGGGGCCCTTATCACGACCCCCTCTACTCGGTGACCCCGGGTAGGGCGGACCGTCGTGGGTGCCCCGCGGCAGGACCGGGCAGTCAGTTGGTACCCGGAGTAAGTGTGGACGTGTGACTGTGGGAGTGTGCCGGTTGCCTGCCAGAGAGTGAGCTAGAGCGGTGAGTTCGTCTAGGGATCATCAGTAGTATTAGTCGAGGTGCCTTAGGTTAGGTAGGGCCCCTTAACCACTGCCCTTTTTACTGAATAAACCGCCTTATTTCTGAGCAATCGTATCTGTGTGCTTCCTGACTACTCACTAGAAGATTCACCCGTAGACTGATTGCCAGTCATAACAACCACATGCAAACGATCTGACAAACATGTTGTGAGCCATAGAACCATATAAATATAAATAAATAGCGAATGTCACCAAAGTAATTTCTTTTTCTTATACGTCACTATATTTCCCTTTATGACTCGAAAACACTACAAGAACACACAAAAGGACATAGACATCAATAAGAGATTCAGTCAATAGTTTCAAACAGCCTGAGGTTGGTCTACTGCACTAAATTACAAACAAAAGTTGAATATTTTACTGTAATGTAAAAAACAATTAGACAACTACTCGGTGATTCTTTGCACGCGCTAGTGCAAGCGGGTTTGCCTACTCACCGGGGCCATGGCGCCTTACGCCAGAGGGAGTAGGCAAACCCGCGCTCACCGATGCGAGCAAAAAGACGCCCGGTATACCAGTAATATTTACATTTTGATGATTTTAAAAACGCTTTCTGAGAGATATTTTTAAACTCCTTGATAAACTAGAATACACATTACACAAGCTGAAATCACAGAAGGGGTGGCAAACAACCAGACATTCACAATTTAAGTTTTGGCCTCAGGCTGATAGTGCCTTGCACTGGTTGGGGACCATCTGAGATCCTGGCAAGTAGCGCTTATGCCCCTGGAAAATACACGTGCTGGTTTAATGTAAAAGAGACGGGCAATGGCACATTTGGAAAGAGAGAAAATATTTTAGCCAGGGTTTTTGCCTTCCCTTATATTACAGAGGAATAAATTAGCAAGCACTATCTTCAAGAGTTTTGCTCCATGCTTTTATATATAAATTGTAACATTATTTACACTCGTCCGCTTACAGCTTATCCTCCGCCGCGAAGGCCAACGCGGACTCCCCCTCGACCCCCCGCGGATAAGTCTCTGGTTCTGACTAGCTTTGGTTCGCGATCCCTTGCTGAATGAATCACACTTACACACTAGGGTCACTCGATACGCGGAGTATCGACTTGGATCAGAATTATCACAGTGCAGGTTAATCTCACAGCTAGACTCGCCGATGTTTTCGGCGGCCGGCGACAGCATGCATTCGACTCGCAAAGTGTCCGTACTAGAGGACAGCTAGCTGCTGGAGTCGCCAGTCGCCGGCCGCGCGGTGATGTGTCCAGAGCCGGGCGCGCGCCGGCGCCGGCCCGCGCGAGGCTAGCTGGCGAGGCTCGAGGTCGACGTGACGGACGACGTCGACGGCGACGAGTGCAGCGACGGCACGTCGTCGGCGTCCACCTCCGGGAACGGGGCGTCCGCCATGAGGGACGTGGGCGCCGGCGTGGGGCCCTCCTCGGCCTCGGCGGCCAGGACGAGGCCGGCGGCGACGGGGTCGTCGTCCAGCTTGGGCTGACCGGGAGGGAACAGCGCTCCGTACGCCGGGGGCTGGTCCAGGTCGTCGTACGAGGGTGGCCGCGAGGGGTCGTCGTCCAGGTCCGAGTCCAGCACCAGCACGCCGCCGCTCACGCCCATCTGTCGACAGTCTGCGGCATTAGACGACGTCGCGCGTGCGCGCGGGGCGGGGGGAGGTAGGAGGGCACTCACCTGGGGCATGAGCACGGTGGTGGGCGTGTGCGAGGGCGCGGAGGGCGCGGGCTTGGGCTGGCGGCAGCAGCACTCCCACAGCCCGCACAGCATCAGGAAGGCGCCGCACACCAGCATGCCGAGCATCAGGTAGCCCCACGGCCCGTAGTTGGACAGCGTGTCGGGGCTGGCCTCGCCCTCTGCAAACACCAGCTCGTGAAACTCGCTGCGACACCGCAGTGTAGTCATAGTACTGGCCGCGCTGGACTTACGGAGGGTGGCGTCGTGTCCGCGGCTGCTGTTGGACGGGTGGAACTTGTTGAACTGGGTGGACTGCAGTAGCTCGTACAGCAGGTCCTTGGCGTCGGGGATGATCCTCTCCGCGCCGGCCTCCTTCTCCTGGCCCGGGGTCTCTGCGGCACACGAGTTTCCAAATGAATCGAATGAGCCGAACAAGAACGCTGGCTGGAAAAAAAGTGGTATGCACGACGACTCCTGTACTTACCGATAAGCCTGTGTCTGGGGTTGCACATGTTGGGGTCCTCGTCGTCACCGACCATGGGGCAGTTGTGGTAGCCGTCGCACACCAGCTCGCGCGACACGCACAGCGGGAAGCGAGGCCGACGCCAGCACGACGAAAACTGGCTGGACTTGCACGTCGCGCCTGCAACAGAACAGCGCGGTCGGCTCAACGTACAATATACTCTGTCCCCGTCCCACTTAAAAGTGTAGGGTGTGTCTCTCTCTGTCCCCGCCTCTTTTACTGACTCTCTCGCTCGCTCGCTCGCTCGCTCGCTCGCTCGCCCGGCCGCGAATCTAGTTCGGTCGACTTGCGACGCGTTGCGACGGCGGCAAGCGAAGTGGATTTGTTATGATTTCCACCCGCATCACTTTTTCTAATAACTTTTGCCTCAGTACAAAATAAATCCTGAGCGCTGAGGTGAAGAGCGCCCCATAGCAAATTATCCTTCCCTGTGGTGCTATGATGATCACGGCACGTAGCCGTTAGGCCTCGGCCGCTGGCCGCTACAGCTGGTCTAACCCGTAACGGAATACAGCCGGTCGGGGTGAGAGTAAGACGGGGTGACAGGTTGTCCGGAGGGGCGCCAAGGCGCGCTGGCCAAAGGCCGGCCTGAGTTTAAAGAACAAACAGTTAAGGGCCAGAGCACACCCGGCGTTCCTGGAAATCAAAACACTTGCATGCGCGCGTGTCGGGCGCGGCGGGGCCTCCGCCCCCGCCGACCGCGCCCTCCCCGCCGTGGGGGGCGCGAGCCCTTTAAAAGATAGGAGCGCCGGGGGCTCTTGGTCAGTTCCCTCTCCGAACCTCTGGACACCACTACCACGTCCATCTCACCGGGAGCTGGTCCTTTGCAAGTCAGATCAGAGTCGCTGAAGTGCTGTTCTGTAACCACGAACCATCGCTACTGCCACTGTAAGTAATAAATCGATTGCAAGGAATATTGGTGTCATCCTTCCACACTGGACCACTAAGATTCATAAGAACCCGCGGCTTGACACATCAGATAGCCTTCAGCTGAGTATTACCAACTGACCACTCCGCTCGGAGTGCCGTCTCGCTCGGACTGTCTGGCCGGTAATATCGACCATCCGGAGCGATCCTTAGCGTAGCGCCTGCGACGCGTTGGATAGGCCGACCCGCGCAGCAGTTGAGCGGAGACGGCGGCCCGTCCTGTGCTGCCTGAGCGCGTGAGTGAGTGCAGAGGACGACCGGACGTCGCGAACTCCCCCCCCC